CTAGGGCGCCATCGTCCCGTTGATACATAGCCCCAACACTTAACCCAACCTCGACCCACCCATTAACCCACCCACCCAACGTCAACCTCAAACCCCTTGGTCTTCTTCTCACTCCCTCCCCCGGCAACCCTCCCATACACATACACACAGAGACACATTTTATACCTGCTCAAACACACATAGAGCCCTTAGGAGTATGGTCCCCTTCCACTAAAAATTCTTATGTACATAATGATAATGTTAACGAGCTAATTTATAGTAGTCTATAGAAACATAGAACCAAACTGATACAACACCACTGACGCTGTCCCAAGCAGAGCAAGTCTAGATAGAATCCGAAACAATAGGCCTACAATACACTTAACACATACCCATTGAATAAAGCAAGCACATAACAATTTCCATTTGCAAATTTATGTCAAATAATTTTAGAACACAGAATCAGGCTGGGGTGAGAACGGAGAAGGGGACGAAAGAGAGGGGGAGGGGCAGTGGGGTGCCGTTAGGTAAGTCAGCCCCCCACTCTCACCTCTGTTAAAATTCCTCTATACGTAGCAGGAAGTAAGCGGTGAACAGAACACCAAACAGAACCATGGGTGTCTCAAAATTCAATTTGCAATAAAGATTTGAGTCATCATGACAGTATATATGTACAGGTTAACTGAAAGTGACCAGAGACAAGTTTCGGTTTATTGATGAATATTACTGATGAAATTATAAGATGTACTGTTAAAGTCAGTCTCACCCTTGGTAAGTAACAGTTGAGTCAAATTGGCAAGAAGGCTGACCTTCATGCAGACTCTTTCCAATCTGAGGGCAACTGTTCAATTCGCCAAGCTGGGTGACGTCACCGCTGAGCGTGCGATACAAAGGTGTGCACTGTGACAGCACAGCTGGTAAGAACAACGTTGTGAGCAAGCAAGATAAACTGAGATTTAGGAAAGAGTTTTTGTGGTGCGACAACACATCGGTGAGCCCTTATTGCCTCTTTTGGGTGAACATATTTTTACAGGGAGAGTGCTATTTTAATGTTGATAAATATTAATTTGGATTTATTTGAAACTGAATAAGAACTATATTATCAGCCGCCAATCTATTGTCCACTATAGCTGACAAAAAGGGACCAGTTCCAGCGGTCTTGTCCAGTTAACGAACCGTCCCTGGGTGTTAGTACAGTCAAACCTGTGTAAGACGGCCACCCATTGTCAAGGAGAAAAGTGGCCGTATAAGACAGGTGGCCGTCTTAGGCAGGACTGATCAAAATGAAGAAAACAAGCCATTCCCATCTGAAGCCCCAATCGAAAGTAGCCTCATTGTTGTCGTTTTTGTTGTTGTTGGTTTGTAATTTGTTTGTTATTTTTATTCTGTTGCTGATTTTGCGCTAGGGTGACAATAAAACGAAATGTATCAGACAAGGAAGACCGAGTGCCGCGTTAAAATAAACACACGCGTCGCCACCACTCGGAGAACGAGCGATGCTTCTGTCACAAGTTCATGTTGACGTCCTTTGTTACTTTGTTACAGACTGGGTAAACGGTGACCACTCATCTCACGTACGATTTGTGTATGAGTTCTGGGTGGGGCTTATGGGTTATGAGGGATCACACGCTTACCTCACCAGCAGCTGAAAATTGGTACCTATTGGTCAACAGTGGGAGGGGCCTACGCAGCATGATCGGTTGGAGGGATTACCTAACAACAACGACTAGTGATTAGATTATGACGGCTCGTCCACAACGCCAGGGGCCAGTGCACAATTTATGACAAAATGTAATGGAGTCACTAATGTGGCCGTCTAAGACAGGTGTTATTACTTAGTGTGATAGGAGTTGTGTGTTAAAATATGGTAGCCACAGCCGCGTTGGACAGGTGCCCGTTTTACACAGCTAAATTATATAGAAAAAACGCAAGGGGGGAATGGAAAGTGGCCATTTGTACAGGTGGCTGTCTTATAGAGGTGGCCGTCAGGGCAGGTTCGACTGTATTAGGTCCATAGCAGTGGCTAGGCCTAACACAAGTACAAGAAACTGAGGCAGAGGTAGATGTAGACTTAACCTCCTCAAAGCTAATATTTTCCCAGTGTACAGGGCACACTTTAGTGATAGCAATAAAGGCAGTAACCCAGCCAGAATGAAGTGCTCATTCAGTCATATACAGTCGAACTTGCCCTGACGGCCACCTGTACAAACGGCCACTTTGCATTATCTAATCACCTGTCGTTGTTGTCAGTTAGTCCCTCCAACCGATCATATTGCGTAGGCCCCTCCTACTGTTGACCAATAGCTAGCCTACCTTCTAGCTGCTGGTGAGGGAAGCATGTGATCCCTCATAACCCATAAGCCCTGCCCAGAACTCATACACAAATCATAATTGAGATGAGTGGTCACTGTTTACCCAGTCTGTAACAAAGTAACAATGGACGTCAACATGGACTAATTGTGACAGAAGCGTCGCTCGTTCTTCGAGTGGTGGCGACCCATATGTTTGTTTTACCATAGCACTCAGTCCTCCTTGTCTGACACGTTTCATTTTATTGTCACCCTTGCACAAAATCAGCAACAAAATAAAGATAACAAACAAAATACAATCCAACAACAACAAAAACAACAATAATACAGCTACTTTGGATTGCGAATGGGGTTTGTTTTCTTCATCATGATCAGTCCTGCCTAAGACGGCCACCTGTCTTATACAGCCACTTTTCTCCTTGACAATGGGTGGCCGTCTTACCCAGGTTTGACTGTACACAAACACACACACACACACACACACACACACACACACACACACACACACACACACACACACACACACACACACACACACACACACTTACACATACACAAATTGCAGTTCAAAATTTACCCCAGTGCTATTTTTAAAAACATGAAATGGCATTGAATTGAAACGACAACTTTTTTTTCCCTTAAAAAAAAGTAGTCTAACGACAAGAAATAAAAAAATATATATATCTCACCTTCTCACGAATCTGAATCTAGTAACAAATTTTAAAAAATGATTATTTGCTCTTATTCTCCAGTAACTGCAATATCAACATACATAATATGGAGATCCCATTTATTTCAACAAAACAGGCCAGGATGGAAAAAGGATTAGAGAAACCCATAGATGGACAAAAATGTATAGAGAACATGACCTCTGTAAACTTTTAAGTCTCCTTGTTTTTCACCTTAGGACATAAGAGTTTTGAGATCAGGATAGCTGGGACAGTAACTGAGAACACAATAGTAATCCATATAACCAGTGCTTTGTCTTTCTCTCGCCCAATAGGAATTTTCATTTTTAGATAAGGTGATTTCTGAGGATGCAAACAAAAATAGAATTCAATAAAGATATGAAATTAAAATAAAAAGCTATTCATATGAGGATTTTATCCCTAAGTACATGTACTACAAATGAACTGTTTAAAAATGCTTTCAACAAAAATGCTATTTCTTCCTTTTATAGTTGTTTTACTTTTTAGATTTCAAAAATACCTTGTTTTAGCTTAAGATTAATGTTTTGTACACATCAAAAGAGTTATTTTAAAGGAGCGCATCTTCGTTCCCTGAGAGTAACGGGACATTTTGGACACTACAGATTCAATTCCACATGAAAAAAATCTCAAAAGGGTTCCCCTGATTAATTCATGTCAAAACTCACAGAATTAAACACTTCTTGTTATAGACTGAACAAATGTGAATACAGTTAAGTCTCCGCCTAAGATCACAGTGTGCAGGAGCAAGGAAAATGCTGGATCTTGGACAAAAGGGATCTTAGCTGATGCACCAAGGGAAGAGTCCACTGTGACCCGTGTTAAGGCTCACAACCGGTAAAATGGGTCTTCCTTTTATCTACAATGAACTGACCTGACCCCTGGGTGGGTTTATGACATATGGAGAGCAAAGAATGGTCAACCTTGATGATCAATTACAGTGGCATGAGACACGCCATTTTCACTTATTATCCTATTGAGAGTCTCAAAATCTAGCCTTATCCAGCTGCTCCACCCCTTTACCTATCCAAAATGTATAGCTTTCAATCTCTGACCAAGCCCCCCCCCCCCCCCTCGTCATTACACACCTTTGTGTTGTGACCCAACCAATTAAATTCAGTCAGTCTAAAAAATCCGAGAGTAGAGACAACTGGTCAGGGAAGAGTGCACATAACCATATGATCCCGACAGGTGCAAACTTGCAGGCCCTACCCACCCTGCATGCGATGTAAGTTTAGGTGGAGAGCTCAAATGTGAGTGCGATGTTTGGAGAAAATGAATGCGTTGGCGAGTTCACACCTCCGTGTGACCCTGTCAGGCGCAAACATTGAGATTTACAGCGGATATGTGATCATATTCACTGTGACGGAATGGGGCAATTAAATTATAGCAAATTTTCATTCTTGGTAGATCTGCTGTGCCCACCTGTTTAGTAAATGATAATCTGAAATGTGGGATCTTAGCCAAATATAGACCTTCAGAGCCGGATCTTAGGGGTGACTTTTGTACAGTAAAAATTATGTTTTCTTAAAGCAGCGGGATCTTAAGCAAACCAGGATTGTAAGCAGTGGGATCTTAGGCGGAGACAGCTATACTGGCAGATTACAACAGACCGAAAGCAACATTGTGTGTTTTAAAGGGGACAACATTTAAGTAGGCAAAACAGAAGACCCAAGGATAACATTGCTTTCACACAATTCTACATCATTCTTTTCACATGTCACCACTTATCTTTGGCCCTAGAGGTCATTCATACATCTCCATTGACTTTTGTGACCTTTGTGGGTAAACAGAAGAGTTTAGCCAGATATCAGATGTCATGCTTTCATCGGCTGATCACTTTCCCAACAAAAAAAGTTAACTTTATTAGTATGATCTGAATTTCACAAGAAAGTAAAATTATTACAGAAATAAAATTGAGACCAAAATTTAAGCACAAGAAGCCTCTGCTTCCAAGCTATAAGTGTTTGAGTTTGGCATGTTCGGCTGTATTTTTACTCATGTGTCATGAACAAAAAGCAAAACTATTACCATCTACAAATAAAGGGGGCTTCGAAAGTCTAGAGGTAAGTAACTTGCCTCTCGTGACATAGCAAAGTGTTAAATTGCAAGTTCATGCAAAGCAGGCCTGACTTTTTAAAAAATGCTTTTTCCACTCCTCACTGCCGGGTGAAATTGAGTTAACTCATCTTCCCAAAATTGGCCAACAAAAGTTGAGGATTCTGTGTGCACTTTGGTCATATGAAAGATATCCTAGTGGTGAAAAGTTGAAGAAAGAGTATGCTCATCAAAGCTCGCTGCATGGGCAACATTTTACGAGACTGGTCAAAGTAAACAGATAAGAGTATTTACAAGGACAGCTTCAAAAGTGGGAGATTATGTTTTAATAGGAAAAGAGACGTGTTCTTGAACATCAGTTGCAGTTGCATTGAACAGCCTTCAATGAACTATCTAACAGATCTGATGGGGAACATTGAAAAATAAGAAGAGAGATACAAAATAAGGAGATGTAAAAAAGAATCTTTCCGACAACATGAAAAAAACAAGCATTCTTACCCTTTGATACAGTATGGGATTCCATTTGCATTTGGAATTGTTTGAAGCATCACATGGCGCCAACAGGACAGGATTAGAGGACCCTGTAAAGAGATATTAATATACCATTATAAAGTATTATAATATAGTTCAAATCAGTGATGATGTCAAGCTGAAATTTTTAAAAATTAGCAATAATATCCTCCCATGACACCTGGAGGGTTAAAAGAGTTAGTAAAAACAGAATGGATGGATGGACGGGCGGAAGGACGGGCGGAAGGACGGACGGATAGACAGAAAGTTATATAATAAGTGTGTAAAAAACATCTTCTACACACAAATACAATATGTAGTTATTTCACTGTGTGAATTATAACATAATAGCCTAGACAGAAGTATGCATACATGGCTGCTACTTGTACTAGATTTCATTATGTCACATGACCACATTGCCAGTCACCAAACGAGAGTGGGAGCAGCAAGTGTGTTTTCTTTAGTTCCAAAGCCATGCCTTGTAGCTTGTTGGGAAGCTCAGAATTTAAAAGTGACTGAAGAAATGTTTGAGTATATACAATTCACTCTACAAAATGTATAATACATGTTATCTTTATATTAAATGTTTTGTTATTGAAAGAATGACGACAGCACAATAGACTGAACAATCCATTGTCATCCATGGTCTCCTTTGAAAGTAATAGGGAATTCATTTTTCTTCGTGTATCTGTCCTCCGAGAAAGTTGCATTTGAAAATAGCAAAAGTTGCAAAAAGTTGCAAGAAAAATTAGCAAAAGTTGCAAGAAACGTGTATAGCTAATTAAAAAGTCATGGAATTACAGGAATGCATTGTTGGCATGCTCATTGCAATTAAAGTAACCAACATGAGTTTCGTTAGATCAAAATCATAAGTTAAATGAGAATGTCTACCCAAAATTTTGAGGTTGCAAGGTGTACAAAAACAGTTTGTCCCCTGACACATGCGTCAGGTCTTTAAACTCTCGCTGAGGTTGGGCAGGTGTGACCAGCGCGGTTTGGAGCTGTTCAAATATAATCTTACATCTTTTTTGGGAACTTCCTAGGTTGTTGTCTTTTTTTATTTTTTATTATGGGGGGGGGTTCCTTTT